GCACAATACGGAAAACTATGGAACCAATTGCCGGCCATCTTCGAGGACGTCCAGTTCCGGAGACCCATATTCTTGTCCGAAACAAATATGACCAGAATTAAAGTCAGATATCTTGAGACTTCAGGTATGCGTTAAAGTTATTAAATAATTAATTAAAATATAATTTTCAAAATGTTTGCATTTCAGGTGAGTTCACAATCCTAGAGAGCGGTAATGTAGTTTGTGTGGGAAAAGTCCGCACCAGCGATGAGTACACTCTGAGTCTACAACACGTGTTGGTCGACACCGAAGCCAATTTGGACAAAGAAGTTGAGGTCAATCTGACCACTGCTGATCTCTACAAAGACTTGAAAATTTTGGGTTACGATTACGGACCGAAGTTTAGACGAATCAAAACAATGAGAACAAATGATTTCGAGAAAATCAATGGACAGATCAGTTGGGATGGAAATTGGGTCACTTTCATGGACTCACTGTTGCAGACAATGGCCGCCGGAATGCCATTCAGGAAAATGATGGTTCCGGTGATGATTAGGAGCCTTCGGTGCGATCCAAAGGCTCTTTCAGTTGGGATGGAAATTGGGTCACTTTCATGGACTCACTGTTGCAGACAATGGCCGCCGGAATGCCATTCAGGAAAATGATGGTTCCGGTGATGATTAGGAGCCTTCGGTGCGATCCAAAGGCTCTATACGAGGGAATCGCTGCACACAAACTGGAAGAACGCTCTGGAGATATATTAGGCAATGTTATCGATGACAAGAATCTCGATAATATCGATCAAAGCGGTGGCGAAAAGACTTTCGACGAGTCGGAAGTGGAGGGCATTCTGTCGACCAATAGTGTTGATTACATGGAAGAGCTGTTTGGCAAAGAGTTTCACGTCTATCCGTCTGTTTTGCCGTATTATGTGGACATGAATTCACGAATGATTGTCACATACGGTGTAGAGATCGAGAATCTGATGGCTTTCCCGATCGCTCGCAAGTCAAATATGCAAGACTTGAAACTAGAATCGTATCAATTCGTTGCCAATGAAGAGAATATCGCTATTGAAGAAAGTGAGAAACAGTCAGTCAAAGAGTATCTGAAGGTTTGAATTAATATGAAAAATACTTTGATATGAAATATATATATTTACAATGTGTTTGTCTTCACATAACAGATCTGTTCACTAATCGGCGACAAAATTAAAGAATTAAATGAATCAAAAGACAAAAAAGTGATCCCAAATATTAGCGATGATTTGGTAAACAAATACATAACTGATATGAAAGACAATCATAT